ACCAAATGCTCAGCCTTTGCGGTTGCTTCACGGTACACATCGTTTGCGTTATGTGACAAGTTCTTAATCGTCAATCGCTGCAAAATACCCGGAATGCGCAGTGTTCCACTCGGCCAAATAACAATTGGACGTGGTTAGATCGGCGACCAAACATGAGCGGTGATGTACAGCCATGGCCATTACAAAACATCTAAGCACCACTCGTGTAGCCACACGTGTCATTTTCGCTTCGTAATACTATATGTAAGTATGATGGGTTTGGTCAAAACAATTAGCCCCGTAACCCAGCTCAGCATGGTGATCAATGTAGTTGATGTGGCTGTATTAACACGGACAAAAACCCCTAACATTGCAGCGGGGTAACCGGCGTGATACATTTAATTTGTTGGCCGCCCCGTGCTTGTGCAACCCGGACATTCACTGAATTTTACATGGAAATGACGTGGCGGAATCCTTGTCCTGAGTTTACAACTTACGTAAGATGGTGGGCTGTATCGTGCCCACTGTGCGATATGAAATTCGAGTAGCGAAAAAGAAAAAAAATGCACTAGAGGAGTTCTGTCAATTCGTGTTTGGAATAACTGTGTCAGGATGACATTTTTTTTGTGTGGTTAAAAACCATGCGTGACAAGTCTTGCTAAAAGCAAAACAAAATTCAACCACGTTGTTGCGGTTGTCTATTGTTTTTACAAATGTCAAGTTCGCTCCTTAGCTTCGCGAATGACAACCGAGATTTCGCAAAAACCGTACCATCTGGTCGACAAAATTATTTTTAAAAAGTAAACTCAAAACCACTCTTGTGCCGATCGTAGGCTCGAGCCCGCCGGCTGCACTTGGTGCCTCATCGGCAGAGAAAACTTTAATCATCTTCACATTATTTCCGCCTCAATCCAATCAAACGCCACTACGTTAAAAAGAAAAAAAAATTACGGCATATCCATGGAGTTATTGATGAAGAGTGGGGTAAAGCGTCCATCCATCCATCTGTTTGTGCATGCATCTATGCGTCCGATCACGTTCGAGAATGCAGACGGTGCGCGGGTAACACCGACGAGACACGAGCCAAGGAAGCCGACCACAAACGTCTTCGACGCGCCCGTCGCTCTGCTCCGTCCATGGCCCACCAATGATCCGCCACGTTTGGCGACAATCCAGGAAAGTCGACTGAGAGAGGCACTGTTTGGCAAAGCGCGCACAGCAGCCATTCAGAGAGTAGTGGCAGAGCAACGCCATCTAGGAAATGAGACGAAAAATGTTTATCAATTTCTTTTGCTTTCTTTGCTTTCTCGTATCTTCTTCTCTCGGTTACGCGTGACTAGTCACAAGGTTAGACTTTTCGGAGCTTCGCCCCTAAAAAGAAAAAAAAGGAGAAGCGTACTCGCATGCAAACTTGGGGACAAGGTTTATTTCACTATCCTTATACATACCACTGACCTTAGCACATTTTATCGCACTTGAGAAACAACCAGAATCTAATGCCAGAATAAATACTTACATGAGAGGAAGGGAAATTATATCAATCACATACTTCACCGGTATAATCTGTACATCATCAATGTCTACAGCCCGTCTGTCCTTTAGGTGCATCAATAATACGCAAATTTTGAGCTGGGTTCTGGGCTTAAAAATACTTTCTTTGTAAAAATTTGTCAAGCCCACGTCAGAAAAACCATGTAATAGCTTCACCATAATAACAAAGTGGAAGTTGAAATGTTCGGTCAATGCTGACCCAGACAGCCGTTTGTTATAAATGGTTAGTTCTAATATTATATAAGTTTCCGCATTTCAGGACTTCATTGATAACTTTCCGCGCTTTGTCGGTATGTTTATGCGATAAATCACGAATATGGTTACTGCAATACAATGCCTTTGATTTTTTTGGCTATAAATTTAATGGTTTTGGTACTTTTAAAAGCTGCCAACAAGCAAGGCTCTCTTGATCAAAAGAACTGTTTAGCAAGTTCATTTCTCTTGTCGATCATTTTAATGTACTCAAGTCTAACCCATGGTTTTCCTATGTTTTTTTTGTTCTTGAGGCATTTATATAGAAACGAAATGTTGATTGTTTACAAAAATATGGATAATAATTCAAGGATTAGTTTTCGTGTATACTACAGACCAATATGTTTTGGTGATGCGCTTCCTAAATGAGTGTTTTTTTCTTTTTTTGAGATGTCAAACATGTATCTTACGAACGGTTCAGGAACACCATCTCGCACTTTTGGGCTTGAATATGTAAGAACAATCGGATTGTTATCACTTACATCTGCTGTTATTGTGCTCACACTGTGAACACAAATGTGTAAATTTACTATGAAGTTATCAAGCCCAGATTGACTATGTTCTGTTATGCCCGTTGGTGGGATGGCGACGGTTTGGAAAACACTAGCTCGGATCCTATTTAGCATTTCAAGAGAATGCATATTTGCATTTAGGAAGTTTATGTTGAAGTCGCATCCAAAAAGCATGTTGTACTTCAATGATTATATAATGCTTACAGGGAGAAATGGGCGTAAGCACTGCACTGGGTTCTGCTGTGCTGAACGCCGCAGGCGTCGTCAGTGTGAGTGCACTTTTTGCTGGAAAGGTAAGTTTTGACAGTATACGTCAGCTGCTTTTGCACAAAATTTGCTAAAGTGTGATGCGGGTAATAAATGACAGTGTGCAATGAATGTGCAAGCATGCAACAATGCCTGTCGAAGTGAGGGTGCGGCTGGTGCGACCGAGGAAGTTTTTTCTACTTTCTTGCCGAGTTAATTCTGGACAAGCAAGATCTGATTTAACATTCAGTTATCGAATATATATATATATATATATATATATATATATATATATATATATATATATATATATATATATATATATATATATATATATATATATATATATATCTTTTATAGATGCTATCGAAAATGTTTATGCACTAACAAGTTCTCAAAAATTCCTATTTGCTTCTGAGGAGCTATTCTTTGCTTTGTTTTCTGTACTGAAGAAATTTGTTCGAGTAATTATCGATGGGTCATACTTCAGGTTTATTTTCGACAGTAAATATAAACAATTTTTTACTCTTTGTAGTTATAAGTCAAGTGTGATGTTCCAATCAGGATTTTAAAAATTTTTCTGAGCTATCTCATCGTAAAAACATACACACATACGCCACTCGTTACGCGTAGCAGTGGAAGGTGGTCACTGTGCGGGCACATTATTTTGTGCAAACAACGCCTTAAATGTTAAATAAGTTGGCAAAATTACATATACGGGCGCTATAGGTACCTTTCACTAATCTACACTCACGTGATAAATTATCTTGTCCATTACCCCCATATTTTACCTTCTGAAAATGTTTCATGAGGAAGTGCATTAAATCGGAATTGTTTCTATTTTCAATGTGTGTTCTATTGTTGCCTGCATTGTGGATCAGGAATAGGCAATGATACATTGAAATTGTATCGAGGTGCGATACAAGATATCAAAACGATAACTCACCCGCCACGGTGGTCTATTGGCTAAGGCACTCGGCTGCTGACCTGTAGTATTTTTTTTCGTGTCCTATAAGTCATTTCTATAAATTGGCTAATTATTCATTATAGTTAAATGGTTAGGGCTGTCGAAAATCTGCCGTCTAAAACGTGTTCTTCTGCTTGTTGGTGCATGGTATAATACATGCTTGGAGACACAAAAGAACGAGGACAAGAAACTGCTGTTAACTGATCTAATGGCACAAACCCGTTAGAAAATCTGAAGTTGCTTGCAGGCATTCTCTCCAACATTTAGTGTTTTTTACGGGTCCATGACTAGAAGTGCCCGGTGAAGATGACGACAACGGATGGCCTTCATCTCTTTGTTCCTGCTACAGTCTCAAGAATTTGCGACGATGAGCCGCACTATTCGCCGGTCACTTGAACTTTCCTTTCTCAAGATACGCTACTGACAATCGTTCGAACATCCTGTATGCGGAATATCTAGTTCTAACATAACATATCTAGTAAGAGAATATATCTTTTTATAGTACAGGTAGTAACCATGGAGCCAGACCGTGACACTGAACTAAAAGATTAAGAAGGCGTGGTGCGCATTCGGTGGATGTCCTCCTATAATGGGTAGTTTTACCTTTATCGCTCAAGAGAAAAGTGTATAATATCAATAATACTGTGTTTATCAAAAAAAACCGATCGCCTGAACTTGCCCTTTAACACAGCGCAACTTCAGTGCATTTTGATGAAGTGCACTCCGCCCTTAGTGCCATTCGCACACTGTCACACAGGAACACTTGCTACAAAGTGCACTTTTCGGTGAGTGCGTTTGCCAATCTCACTTCGCTGTGACGGAGTGCTAGCCTCGGTAGCAAGTGACTCGTAAATATAAAAAAATATAATCGTAGGTCGAGTTTATAGCATTCATTAAAGTATTGAGTTCGTTACCAAGAACATTCCTAATATTTAAACTGTAAGACACGTGGAAAACTACTCGGCTATTCTCAATCTCAGGCAGTGCACAGCCACGACCGCCAGAGGAATGCACAAAACAGGCCATGCAATTGCTGCTGTCACCGTGTTTCCACGTGAAGTTTCGTTTAACATTACTACTGAAAAAAAAACATTGCCTGAAATAAGTAGTATCTGCTGCGCTACCTCGTTGCCATCGTCAGTAACATCATTTATAAAGTACACTTTCCTTCTTCGTGCAGAAGAATGCTGCCAAAGTGACACTCTGGAGGAGTTAGCGCACTCGCTCAAAATGACCCTCAATTTGCCCGTGTGACCGGAGTGTAACAGCAACATCTTATCGGTACTTACCTACGAAGCAGAAATTCGAAAGCTCACAAAGAGAGTTCAACTTAGATTTAGGACAACGCAGAGGGCAATGTAAAAGAAAATTATAGGTGTAACTAAGAGTCAGGAAGCGAGAAGAGTGCGTCAGGAAACAAACGGTTGTTAAGGACATCTTAGTCGAATGGGGCGAGAAAAAATTCAAGCATCTCCAGGAAATGAATTATGACGAGGGATCGAATCTCTGGGTATCGCACGGGTAAGTAATCGTTCGTTACCCGAGAGTTGCTCCATATAATTTCAAATCAGTGACATAAAGTGACAAAGAGTCAACGATAAAGCTAGGTCCTAAGGTCCATAATGTTTATGGTCAAGATGACGACTAGTATAAAACGTGTCTGTTTGTAGGTGATTCCTATTGTTTGGTCACATTTGCGATGAATGTTCCTCTATTCTAAATCCACTTTTTTTATTCACACGCGCGCATATGTTTTGACTTTATTGTTTGTATATTTTGACAGTGGACAGCAAGAGTCGATGACAAAGCGAGGTTTTTTATGCCCACTAGGGGTGCGTTGATGTCGCCTATTAGTATATAGAGTTTGTGCTCGTAGGAGGTTCTTATCGTTCTGTCGCAATGAGGATTTATATTAGCCTAATGTTAAATTTTTGTCATATGCTATGACTGATGGGTGCTTAAATATTGTTTTTTACGGTGTTGTAGCCTCTTATTTTGTTCTGATTAACTTCGTTCTTGTTTATCTTCTGTTAACATTGTTCACTGTGCTGTGCCGTGCGCACGGACGCCAAATGGATGGAGAAACCTCGTCAATATAAGCTGCTCTGACCCGAAAATGGACACATGCAGGGCATGCAGCGCGTATTCAGATAACCACTCGTCTTCAAGTGGGACATGGGTTCCAAGAGAAAGTATACACGCGAGGGGGAGACAGGTAGTTACGTGGGCAGACAAGATTAAGGGCTTTGTAACGTGGCTGCAGCAAGCACAGGACCGGGTCGGCTAGAGGAACGTGGGAGAAGCCCTGCAGATGGAGCAAGTGGGCTGATGATGATGAAGGGAGGACAAAACACGAAGCCGCTGTCACGGCAGTGCATTTTTGAGTATTTGAAGCATTCCAGAGGGGTACACATAGCTGGGAGCCTTAGTTTAAAAGGGTTCTTCACGCGGTGCCCATGCACCCGCTGTTTAGTGTGCTCACGAGACCAGTTCTCTTTACTGGAAGACATCTCTTTGTGCTATTGGAAGCAAACCTGTGACGGGGTGCAAGAAAACCGTCCCCCCCCCCCCCCCCTCCCGGTCCCATGCTCGAGCAAACGAGGTTTCCGGCCGCGATAAGTAGTTCGCGTGGTACGTACGGCAACAGAAAACACAATATGTAAAGTTTTTGTATCAGTACTCTGTTGAGCTTCTCTTTTTTAATGTTTTCGCGCTATAGACAGTGGTAGTTTTCCTGAACTTCAAAGTGAGCGGTAGGAATCATGTCAAAAAAGAAGGCAGATGCTTACGTTTGTCGAACCAATACTGCATGATGTGGCAGTTAATCGCTCGCTGAGGAGACATGCAGTGCGATGCCGCTTGATAAACAATGTTGTTGAAACGTTCAAACATTGATAAGAACCGGCCTGAGAAGTCGACCTAGGTGTCCATTCGCCTAAAATTGTAAAGGAAATATTTTCAAAAAGCTTTGATTGCATCCAACCAACGTTGTTTGGTTGTGCACACAGTTGAATAGATAACAACTACTCATAAGAAGCTGTTGCCGTGCAAGCTCTGGATTCAAGATTCAGTTAGGTTCGTTCCATATGCAAACAGGTTGTTATGATGTTTTGTCATATAGTTATGTTGCTTACCTTCCACGCTAGAAGCTGGTTTACAGATCCCGGTGACTGCGCGCAATGGGCACTCAATGTGCGTATTCTGTAAACAGGAGCATCTCTATATTCCTTTATTGTTTACATACATAAATGTCCTGGGACGTTTTATAGAGCGTTGAGAGCCATACCTTTAGATAAGAGCGTGCTGGTTTCGTTACGAAGCATACGAGAAAGATGTGTCCGAGTCCTTGTCCAATAACTTCAGTTACATGTGCAGAAGGTGTACAGTGTCAAAAGTGAACCCAGCCGCCGTGGTCTAGTGGCTACGGTACTCGGCTGCTGACCCGCAGGTTGCGGGTTCGATTCCAGGCTGCGGCGGCTGCATTTGCTATGGAGGTGGAAATGTTGTAGGCCCGTGTGCTCAGATTTGGGTGCACGTTAAAGAACCCCAGGTGGTCGAAATTTCCGGAGCCCTCCGCTACGGCGTCTCTCATAATCATATGGTGGTTTTGGGACGTTAAACCATACATATCAATCAATCAGTCGCAAAAATTAAGCGCACCTACCCTTTGTTTTATTTTCAAGGCTCTATGAAATGTTTTGTTTATGTTATTAACAAGCGTGTACCACGTTAGGCCGCTGATGACGTGGCACTGAGGTATTTACAAGTACCAGCTGATTACACAGGCCAGATAATAGATGATACGAAAAACTCAGAGTATATGCATGAGCAATGTGGTTGTTACCCGCCAAGGTGTTCTCCTGGTTATGGTGCTCCACCACTGACGCGAAGGGGGCGGGATTGATGGGGACGAAAATACTGCAGGCCTGTGTACTTAGACTTAGGTCACGTCAAAGAACTCCAGGTGGTGAATATTTCCGGAGCCCTTCACCGTGGCATCTCTTAAAATCATGTCGTGATTTTAGAACGTTAAGAATTGTTATTATTAACGACATGACTGTTCCCAGGTGGTTCTGCTGCACCGTTGGCCAATGTATCGTGACAGCGTATTCTTCTTCGCAAGCGTCGTTATACTCTTGGCTGCCCTGCAGGACGAAGCCGTCAGCCGGTGAGTGCCACGTCATGTTGTACTCGGACTTTTAATCACATTTGAACCACTGTTTACTTATTCTCAGCAGACTGATTGTAAAGGGTAGATAATTCACCGTATATATGCCCCCCCTTCAATTTTTTTTACTGGCAACAAACAAAATGTACAAATGAAGGGCTTTCAGAAAATAAGAGCCGTCATTCGAGGCTACGGAAACATAGCTGGGGCACATTATTTCATCATTTAAATCAGTATTTTCTTGGTGCACTGTATATCTTACATTGTTCGTTGCCACAAGTTGATTTGCGAGAGAATTCTGACCCAAGCATTCATATGCAGTCGATCCCTTTTGTTGCTATGATTAACAGTCTCTGGAAAAGTTCATTGGTATGAGCTGTTATAGATAGACGTTTACAGTGAATTTTCAACGACAAAAGCACTTCGCCAAAGAAAAAAAAAAGCCGGAATACAAGCCTCAAACATTTATTTGCGTTGGAAGCTTTCTTGACAGGCCACTCAAAAAAGCTTCTAACTGCAAGTTTCTAAGCTCGTCTCGGCGGCTTCTCCTTCCTGTTTTCTGAAATGTGTTCGTGAAGCTTTACTAAAGAAAGCGCCACAAGAATGATGCTTCCTAAGGAAGCAAAAAGCAATGTGTGCAGTCGTCATATACCCTACACACAGGGATTATACTCATTCTGCGAAGACTCTACCGATTGCTCTTTGAAAGCGCTCTCGCATCTGTGCTCGCGCGTCGTCTATATATAGTAGAATTCTTGAATGTGACAAAGAACTCACGAAAAAAAGTACGTTTCGTCAAATGTTCAAGTACTGCTGCGTACGAATTTCCGCTGAGCGACGGCATCGGCAAAAGGAGCCGTTATATTGATGACTGTTTAGTAGAACACGCTTTGTCCATCGGAATTCGGACAGGCTCTTATTTGCCATATCACTGCAATGAATACACGTGTGAACCATTGCTGGAAAACGCGTGTATCTTGCGAAAAAGTCAAGGTAGGTAGCTCGGGAACTGGCTCAGTCTATGCATATAGATAAATTTGGTAATAGGTGCACCAGCGTTCATTCCTTGGCAAATTATCAGAATAAGTACAGCTGTATGGTTGGTAGGACGTAATGAAGTGGTGTCCGTACAAATCGTGTTATTTTACTTTATTTGGTTGTGTACGAATTCTTCAGGGCTAAGAAATATAGTTCTCTAAAAAATAAAATTCTATTGCGAGTGTGCGCTTATCGGCGTCCTGTGTTGTGGTAACATGGTCAACACCTCCTTCATTTCTTTCAACGCCAGTGCAAACGCGCGCTTCTCAACGGGAGCCATCGGTCCGCGCCTTAGTTCAGAGAGTTGTCGTGATGTGACGCTACGTTATGGGTAGTGCTGCTTCCGTCGCACGTGCTTCCAACCGCAGAGTTTCCTAAAATTAACTGGAGGGGACTCTGGCGCTGCGATCGTTCAGCGACCATGGGAAACATGGGTAGTACACACATTTGCCTGTATATAGTCTTCGTACTTGCAGACGGCGAATCGTACTTGCAGCTTCGTTTATTGCATTGTTTCGGTTTTGTTTTGAAAGAACAATTCAACCTTTTTGAACTGCGTGACTCGATTTGGAAATGTAAGTCTAAAAGAATAAGAGGGTGAAGTGTAACCGCTGAACATTTGCTAATATTTGTTTCGTGAGAAAACAGCTCCAAGCCACACAAACGCGCACGGAGCCGAAAGCAGGCCTGAAGTACAAATATTAGACAAATGTGTGTACTACCCATCATTCCCATGCTCGCTGAAGCGCCGTGCGTTGCAGCTCCCATAAACACTAGCGCCAGAGTTCTCTCTAGTGTATATTAGGAAACTCTATGCTTCTAACGCTTTCCCCCGTAGATGCGATAGACGTGTTTCCCTCTCACAATGTCCGACATCTGTCAGATTTGTTCCTTCATGCTGCTTCTTTGTGGCTCGAAGCAGTGCTGCCACCGCGTCACAGAGCAGTGCATGCAAAAGCGTTGCAGGGACGCTTACATACTGGTTGCCCACATAACGCCACGAACGGCGACACGCTATCTTAAAGCGCCATATATTAAAGCGCCACAACTGAACAAAAAATTAGTTCATAAGATTTCCGCCGTGAGGGATTGGATGAGGGGTTCTATCCCCCATGACCGCTAAGCACACACGAAGGCTAGGCGATGGGCGAGAGCAGCATGGCTAGAGAAGAGGTTGGTGAACTGCTGCATGAATCGGGTGCATCTGGCTGGCATTGATGAAATAGAAGAGCCCCGCCGCGGTGTTCTAGTGGCTAAGGTACTCGGCAGCTGACCCGCAGGTCGCGGGATCGAATGCCGGCTACAGCGGCTGCATTTCCAATGGAGGCGGAAATGCTGTAGGCCCGTGTACTCAGATTTAGGTGCACGTTAAAGAACCACAGGTGATCTAAATTTCCGGAGCCCTCCACTATGGCGTCTCTCATAATCATATCGTGCTTTTTTGACGTTAAACCCTACATATCAATCAAATCAAAATAGAAGAGGCGTTGACAGGGTAAATGCAATCTCATATTCGGGTAGCACGGTAACGTTAAAAAGTATATGCTCAAGCTAAATGTACCTATTAACGCCTTTCGGTTTAATGTGTATTTAAGCTGCATTCACACTAGGGTTACGTGACAATGATTTAGGGCTGCCGACTGTCTTGGGGAGCGTCTCTTGTCGTGTCGCCGTCCTATTTACACAGCGACGACGCCAACAGTCGGCCGATGGTCCGTGGAAGACTATGTTGGTGCCTTGTCGTACTTACAGCCTTTCGTCTCCCAAATGTTTAGTCACACTGGAGGCAACAGCGACTGAACTTGCACGAAGAAATTGGAACAGGGCAACACATGCTCCTCATTTTCAGCCATCTTCCTCTGAAATTTTGGAACTTTATTTATTTCAACATTCTAGATGCTGAGGGCCGTGGTCAAAAAGCCTCTAATGGCCCGGGCTTGACTGGGACCACTACCCCTTACAAATGCGTGGCATAGACAACGTTCTTATTGCAATAAAAAAGTTTGGCGACAGTTAATGCAAGTGAAAGATAGCATAAAGATTGAAAATGATCAACTCAAAAAGTGAAACCGGAAAAATAAATTGATTGTAATTTCCTATAAGTACGAAAATTATTAATATAGTGTAATGATACAAGTATACGTGGTACCCATGTGATAGCCATGTAATAAGAGACGCTAAATGTATTGCAAATAAACGTAGGTGTAATTTTACTCAGATGACAGATACTGAATTCAAGTGAAACGGCAAGAAAAAGCGAAACATTTCTTTGCCGTATTTGGTATGTGGGATGAACGTGTGATTAAAACAGGTATTATGAACAACTTTGAGGGCATTCAGAAAGGCATTGGTTTCTAAAAAGTTATCGCATTCTAATCCTGCGTTGTAGCGTTTCACAAGCATTGTGCGGTAGTATTCTGGTATAGTTAGTAGGTTCTTTTCCTGAAGTAAGTCCTATGTCATAGTCCCTATCGGGCTATGTGGTGCAGCCTCCTCCATCTCCCACGGCGTCGAGGCACGGGGGTGGGGACAGCCAAAGAGGAAGCGAAGAAACGACTTCCGTGGAGGGCATAAAACGACCATTAAGACGCTTCGGTGGTATCGTGCGGGGCCTTCTTCTGTCTCCCAAGATTTCCCCCTTCGTCGTTAGAAGCAATGAAATGGGCAAATTTTCGCTCGACCACGGATCCTCTGACGACCTGCTGACGACTAGTCTACCGATGTGTTTTGCTAGTGATGTCAGTCTGCCATCCCGTTAAACTACAACGGCATGCCGTCATTCGAGGCGTCTTCGTCGTCAGCCTAGTGTGACAAGATGGTCCGGCGACATCGTCGGCATCGTTTTCGCATTGGTTGCATGTCGCTCCAGTGTAAACGCGCCTTAAAAGCGTTACTCTTTCGGCTGCGCTACCGTAACAAGAACGTTTCTCTGGTGATGAGCTGGGGGGGGGGGGGGAGGGGGGGGGGTCAACCGTACTTCAGGTATATTCTATGTGCGTTTGTATGTTTGCCTTTACATATGCACATGCAAAATAAAAATTTTAGCAAAAAGAGGGTCGATCCCCCACCCTACATTTTCCGTCTGGCTACACTATTGCTGAGTTATTTGGTACATAAATTTTAGACATACCCAGACATCTACGCACCACCCGCAAAAATATTAAGTACCGGAAAAGAGCGTCACTCTCAAGTCATTGTGTGTGCAGGAAAACCGCGGAAATTCTAAGCAGCACTGCACATGCGCAATTATTATTGCTTGTCATAATAATTACGTATTAAACATGGGCACATTCCGGCAACGAACTAAAATATCATATTCAAACTTAATGTTATCTGGAGTTTAATGACAGGTGCCGTAGTGAAAAGCTCCAAAAATTTCAACCACCCGGAGTTCCATAACGTGCACCGAAGTCTAAGTATACGGGCCTCAAACATGTCCTCCTCCATTAAAAATGCAGCCGCCACATTAGGGCTTCGTAGCAAGCGTTGCCCCGCCGCGGTGGTCTAGTGGCTAAGGTACTGGGCTGCCGACCCGCAGGTCACGTGATTGAATCTCGGCTGCGGTGGCTGCATTTTAGATGGAGGCGAAAACGCTGTAGGCCTGTGTTCTCAGATTTAGGTGCACGTTTAAGAACCCCAAGTGGTACAAATTTCTGGAGCTCTTCACTACGGCGTCTCTCATACTCATATGGTGGTTTTGAGACGTTAAACCCCGCGTATCAATCAATCAATCAATCAATCAATCGTAGGAAGCGTTGATGCCTGTGGTTGCAAAAATTTTACGTGTTTGCGCTTGTCAATTCCTATATGCAGAGGTGCACGGCGCATAAGCGGACAACATGCGTGCCACGTGAGATACGCAGCCACGCCCCTTCGTGGTGTCGTTTTTAGAAGCCTGTTTTTCTTGGCAAATAAACTAAATATTGCCTCAGACTTCAATGAGTGTAGGTGTTTTCATTTTG